AATAATAATAATAATAATAATAATAATAATAATAATAATAATTTTAAAAAAATAAAAAATATATAATTAAGCCAATCATATTAACTAATTGGGGATTTATTGACAAAAAGAGTATTCAAATCACATACAAATTGAAGTGGGAAACTATCTCGCAATGTCCTTTTTTGGCAATCAGCACTTAGCTCTTCAATATTAGTATATATTTAATATTTTATGCCCTAATTTTTATTTGCTCTCCCTTATGTCCCATATTTGGTTTCAACCATACATATACAATTATTTTATTGACAATTGTAATCAATCTTGACTATATTATCTTGCATTTGTAAACTTAGAATTGCCTATTTAAATACGCAAATTTAACATTCAATTATCTATGCATGAATAATTCCAATATAATCTTGCATTGATATACTTTAAAGTACTTATATATATATATATATATATATATATATATATATATATATATATATATATATATATATATATATATATATATATATAAAACATTGGGCATTATCCCAATCGCGCAATGCGCGTAAAAAATTAGTAATTAAACATGTGTCGTTAAATTTTCTATAATTACAATTAATTTTGTGATTATACATATATAATTGTTGAATTCATATTATTATTATTATTATTATTATTATTATTATTATTATTATTATTACTAGTATTTGTCCCGTGCGATGCACGGAAAATATGTTATAAAAATATACTCTATATGAGGTTTATTTATATATAAAAATTTTGTTATTTAATAATTATTATGTGTGAATTCCTATGATAAAATTATGAACATATATATATTTACAATTAAAATAATATTTAAGGTGGCTGATTACTACAAATCTTAAACTATATTAAAAATTTAGTAGATAATATTTAATATTACAAATTTTTAAGAACTTAGTAAACTATAATAGTAATTGAATTACAATTTAGAGTCACCACGGATCACAATTTTTAGACCTTTGAGATTTCTAACTCTAGATATAGCAACATACAATTGATCTTTAAAGATCAAAATCACAATCTTAGTTCAAACATTTATTTTTTCTTCAAAATACTATCGAATTAAGTGTGTAATCAATAAAAGATGAGAACTAAAAATTTGAGAATATAATCTTAATGTTACTAAGCCTACTTCACGTCAATTAAGTTGGAGAGTGTTGTTGGATAGTATCCGATGAATCCACGAATAACGCATCTTTGTCTCTGTAGTCCTTAATATGCACATCAACAATCTTAAATATTAGGCCGCCTAGCTATGCCATATAGTAATTTCAAACTTATGAACTTTGAGGTTGCATGCAATAAAAAGTATATTTTAAATATACTAAGGGTACATTATATATGTATGTAAGGTACTTTCAATATAAAAATAATGTATTTTTAATATATTAACAATGTATTTGATATTCATGATCCATACAATTATGTGGACAATCGTTCACACAATAATTTGCTAGTAGAAATTGAAATATAAATAAATAAATAAATAAATATATATATATATATATATATATATATATATTATTGCAATTATTATCATTATTATCATTATTATTATGGCAATTATTATTATTATTATTATTATTATTATTATTATTATTGTTGTTGTTATTGTTATTATAATTAACAACAATATTATTATGGTCTTGTGAAAATTAAATGTTGATTATCACCATTTAATTTTCACAAGACCATATAGCTTTATTATATATAGGATTATATTCTTACTTCATTCTTACTTCATTAATATTAATATGAATTCAACAATTATATATATATATATATATATATATATATATATATATATATATATATATATATATATATATATATTAATATAATTAAGATTTTAACATTTTTTTTATTACAAAGAAAGGGGGATACCCATACAATCTATGGGTATACTGAGGTTCGAAACCTAGACGAGCAATCCAATACCAATGGACAAGGCACTTGGTTAACTAAGATTTTAACATTAAGTATTAATATTGGACATATATTTTTGCGCATCGCGCATATAAGATACTAGTATATTATATAATTGTCAAACACCTTATGCTCAGATGGTACCTCCAGTTCTCTTTGAGGGAAGGTCACAAGAGCAAATTTTAGAGGTGGGGTACTGACTCTTTGGACTGCAGTAGTTAGAGAAAGTGTAGACCAGATACTACATTTTAATAGAGTTAATAATATTTAAAAAGAAATAAAAATAAAAAATAAAAAACATGCATGGAGAACACCCTGTCGTATCCTGCTCTTCTTAGCTTCTGTCCCCCACAAAACTGGTGGACTGTATTCTCTCAAATCAATCCCAGTGACAGTCCAGCTAAATAATTACTCAACATTATTCATGACTATGTAGTATGTACAACCCACTTCATGCATTCCAACTCAACATGTGTAAATTAGCAGATTTCATTTCTATATCAAGTCTTCTCCGCAATTTATTCCAAATTGTTTCTAATTGGTTCAAAGGTACAACCCCCCGCCCCCCTCCACACACAGAGGGAAGAGATCGGGTCGAAGAGTCTCTTAGGTGAAATATGGGGTGAGATATGAGCTGTTGATCAAATTTAGATTAACGGTTCAAATCAATGAAAATTAAAAAAAAAAAATGCGTTTCTTGGGAATAAAAAAGCTAGTGTTAAAATGACGCACCTTAAATGTTAAATAGACGCATGTTAAGTATTAAATGGTGCACCTTCAATGTTAAAAATGGTGCACTAAGTGTTACAAAGACACACCTTAAATGTTAAAATAACGCATATTCAATATTAAAAATGACGCACCTTAAGTGTTAAAATGACACACTTTAAGTGTTAAAATGACGCGCCTTAAGCTTTACAATTAAGCACCTTAAAATTTTCTTGAAGGAAAACTGATGCACCTTAAGTGTTAAAATGACGCACCTTAATCTTTAAAATTACGCACATTAAGCTTTCAACAATACGTAAAATTATCATAATACCACCGTTTTTTTTTTTAAATTTATATTCATTTTGAACGGTTGATTTTTACAAGATCAATAACTATAATTAATTTGTATGTTTTATCTGGAGACCTCCTTCGCATTTGACACTCTTCCACAACTACACCACTATGTTTTTTGGGGTTGACATCAAAGAATTATTTATTCTGAAAATGGTTCTCTTTGACAGAATTTTTTGGGCTATGTGATGGCACATTGCCTTGCTCTGCCCTAGTTTGACTGCTGCGCCGACGATAGTCCATTGTGAATCCCACATACTTCTATTAGGAACAATAGGATTTATTGATCCTAAACATGATTATCTTATCCCTTTATAAGGAAACTCTTTATTTGATCGTACCAAAAACCCTTTTAGATTTACCCATTACAAGTGGGATCGTTATGCCATGCAACTGTGTTCACCATTCATGATGAATACGGTCCCAACAGTAACAGTGCACTGTTATCTTTTTTTTTTTTTTTTTAATTAATCGCGCGATTTTTCTTCTTCATTTTCACATTTTGCGGTTTCACTTTCTCTTCGCGCAAGCTTCTTCAACATAATCTCATAAAAAGAAAATTCATAATTTCATAACTGCACATTCATAAATTCATGCCTGCACATTCATAATTGTATGGATATATGAATGTGCAGTTATAGAATTATGAATTTTCTTTTATGAGATTATGAATTTTCTATTATGAGATTATGATTTTCGGTTATGAGATTATGAATTTTCTGTTATGAGATTATGAATTTACAGTAATTCATAATCTCATAACAAAAATTCATAATCTGACCAAACGCGCGCCGTTAACACCACATTAGCGATTTTTTTTTCGTAAAAGCGGCACCGTTTGAATCCGTGTTCACCATTCATAGTGAACACGTTTCCAGGGCATAATTTGCCTTACAAGTGACACTGATATTGATTAGCACCTTAAAGTTTTCTTAAAATTTTATACTATATACAGTAATTTATAAATTTATAAATATTACAAAATACAAAATTTTTATGACAACAAAAAATTTATTTGGGAATATGCATGGAATAAAGTCAACGCAAATTATACCGTGCATCAATGCGTATAATGCATTGTGCGCGACGTCGTTTTGTACCTTTTTTGCGTGTCTTAACTTCTTGAAAAAAATTTATGTTTTGAATGTACAGAATTGTATAATAGAATACACAGAATTTTATACTCCCTCCGTCCCATTTTAAATTTTTTACTTTCCTTTTTAGTTTGTCCCAAAATAGTGTCATCTTTTCAAAATTGAACATAAATATCACTCTACATTTCCCCATTTATCCCTTTGACTTTTCAAATTTCTAGAGATGTACAAATGTTCTTTATACAAATAACACCTACTTTTGATGGACAAAATTAAAAAGTTAGTAACATTTGTTATGTTGTATTAAAACCCGTGCAAAAAGCAAATGAGACGATCAATTAGGGATGGAGGGAGTACCCGAAAACACAGAATTTTATAACTGCAAAATTCCATGTTTCGAATGTACAGAATTATATAATAGAATACACAAAATTTTATACCTGAAAACACAGAATTTTATAATTGAAAATTTTCATGTTCTAAATGTATATGATTATATAATAGAATGCACGAAATTTTATACCTGAAAATACAAAATTTACCAAAATGATGTTGTTTTGAGAGGCGCGGAGCGGACATTGCTATGTACACCCTGGTGTACGGTATAACGATGGTAAAGTGAAGAATGAATCAATAAATTCAACATGCATGGAAAATGGCATTCTGGTCCCCAGTCCCCACCAGCCCACAAAACCGGTGGACTATATTCTCTCCAACGTCAGGCTAAATTGCCAACTTTTCTTTTTATTACAAAAAGAAAAAATGAAATAACAATAACAATTGTGTAATGCTAGTACACTGGCTTTTATAGACACAAAAAATTGTTACATTAATTACCTGAATTTCTCAACATACCAAGACCTCAAGAATAGCTAATCATTTAATTTTATTATTTATGCAAATTAAACTGTGAAAGAGATGAGAGTAAAGGCCGCGGCTGCGGCCTAGCCTTCCTTCATCATTCTCACCATATATCATCATCTCTATTGTATCTATTATCAATCCCAATTCCACCATTAAGGCTCTGCTCAACACCCCTCAAGTATATTTCTCTCTCTCTCTCTCTCTCTCTCTCTCTCTCTCTCTCTTTCTCTTTCTCTTTCTTTTTGAGTGTTTAATTTTACCTCAACAGTAAGAGTTTATTCTGCTGAGCTTTCTGGGGTTTTGATTTTTGTTTCACTTGGAATTCCTTTTCTATTTGGGGTTTCTTGGTTTTGCATCTTTGTCCTCAGCTCGGATTTTCTATCAAAAGATCCAAACCGTTTTAGGGATGGGTCATTTCTAGCTCTTTTCTTGATCTTGATTTGGAAGCTTCTTGCCCATTTTTACATTGTCAAATAACAACACTTTCTGTTTCTGGTTTTTGGGCTAATTCTTGATTGTGGTTTTGGCTGTTAAGTTGGGTTAATTGTGGGTTATACTACTTGGGGAAGTTGAGGTTGCTTTGCATGGATTTGAATTCTATGTTTGAGAATTTGAGGTGTGGCTCTCTCTCTCTCTCACACACACACACAGCAAATCATTATTTATAGATTATTCCTTATTCTTGTTTTGACTAATCTAAAATAGATCTTTTAATCATTCTCTCTTTTCTTTGAAGCAATGTAAAATATTTTATGTCATTTTTATTATATATTAGAAGACTATGATATCTTGATTCTCCCCTTCACACACACCCAGTTATAACAACAAACAAAAAAACTTATGATATAAAAATGTAGTTAAGCTTAGTTCCACAAAAAATATGAATCTGTCTTGAAAATTTCAGGGAATTGCTTGAATATTCATGAAATTATCAGGTTGCTTGGTTCCAGTTCACATATTCTATTTATTGATCTACCAAGACATTGGATGCCCATGACTTGCTCTAAGCTTGACATTTATTTTGATGATCTTAAACATAACAGATGTAGATATATGAAACAGTTTTCTGGAATCTGACATAATTTGTGTTATCTGATGATTGTCTGACAGAAAAGGGTCAAATGATTGTAATGCAAATATCGTCTAATTGTCAATAGAACTCCCATTTTGGTTTAGTAATCCCGGGATCTAACAATAAGTGTGATAAATTTGCAGTAGCACTTTTAGGGGGGAGTGTATTGCAGTTGTATAGAGTTAGTCAATCATGAGCCAGTCCAAAATCAAGCGAAGAGTTGGTAATTATGAAGTGGGAAGGACGATAGGCGAGGGAACATTTGCCAAAGTTAAGTTTGGAAGGAATTCCGAGACGGGAGATGCTGTTGCTCTCAAGATTCTTGACAAGGATAAGGTCCTTAAGCACAAAATGGCAGAACAGGTACATTGTAGACCAGTTTGTTTCTTTGTTTCCTTAAAAACAGTATTATGCAGAATTGAAGCATGTGCTCCATCTCAATTAAAAGCCTAAGTTGATAGTTGGATTGCACATTAATGGTTGCTCAACACGCCCCCTCACGTGTGCTGGGCTCAAGCAACACGTGGACCGTAGTCTCGACCTTTGGTCTGGCTTTGATACCAAATTAAAGCATGTGTTCCATCACAACTAAAAGCTTAAGCTGATAGTTGGATTGCACATTAATGGTTATATGCTCAACATGCAGGGCAATCCAGGATGCTCTTGTATTATCTGTCGATACCAATTTATCTGTGCATTCTTAATGTGGCAGCTTCTCTGGTTTAATTTTTGTTTTTTTCATGATCTTAGTTTTCTGATGTTATATGCTTGATTTGATAGATCAAGCGGGAAATTGCTATAATGAAGTTGATAAGACATCCAAATGTTGTTCGCTTGTACGAGGTTGTTTTCTCTCTCTCTCTCTTCTCTCTGTTGTACGAGGCAATGAAGAACTATAACCCTTAGCGTTATACATAATTTTTTAACACTTTTATTTCATCTGCCTTCAGGTGCTGGGAAGCAAGACCAAAATATACATTGTTTTGGAATTTGTTACTGGTGGAGAGCTTTTCGACAAAATTGTATGAAGATTCTTCCTTTTTTTCTTTCCTGTTATTTGACAATTGCAACTTGGCAGCTGTATAAAACCAGAATTTTTGTGGTAATCTAAAATTCGACTTACTCTTATACTTGCTTTCTTGGCTATGAAGGTAAATCATGGACGGATGAAGGAAGACGAGGCTAGGAAGTATTTTCAACAACTTATTAACGCAGTTGATTATTGCCATAGCCGAGGAGTCTACCACCGAGATCTAAAGGTGGATAATGTTGCTCTAATGCTACCTTTAATCAAGAACGTTTTCTATTACTTTTTCCCATTTTCTCATTTCGAACTATTTGCACTTTTCGTGTGTTTGGTTGCTGGTGCAGCCGGAAAATTTATTGTTGGATGCTTCTGGAAACCTCAAAGTTTCTGATTTTGGATTGAGCGCTCTGTCCCAGCAAGTCCGGGTATTTATTTTTTCTTCGAGTACAATGTTCTTTTTGGGTTTAGCCGAAAGCTCTATATCACTAGAATGCAATGCTCCATTTTACAGTTTAACTTGGCAGGATGACGGGTTACTTCACACAACATGTGGGACTCCGAACTATGTTGCTCCGGAGGTATAACAATCCACCCCAGCTTGAAACGATTGCCACTTTCTTAAAATGCTTAGTCCCACATATCTATCATATTCGTTTCTCAGGTTCTCAATGATCAAGGCTATGATGGTTCAACTGCCGATCTCTGGTCCTGTGGAGTTATTCTCTTTGTATTGCTCGCTGGGTACTTGCCTTTCGACGATTCTAATCTTGTGAACTTGTATAAAAAAGTGAGCATTTACCCAGTCTTACTCAAGACTCAAGAGTTAATCTTTCACTTTCGTCTCTTTCTGAGGTTTACACATTACGCCCTATGCAGATTTCTTCAGCTGAATTTACTTGCCCGCCATGGTTCTCTTTCGGTGCCATGAAGTTAATTACCAAAATCTTGGACCCGAACCCTGTAACCGTAAGCACACTACTCTTTCTTTTCCTCTCTAAAAGAGCTGCCACTCTAATTCTTGCTGAATTTGGAAGATGGAATGATCTGGCGGGTGGAGAATAACACCACCCGCCAGTTAGGCGGAAGCAATAATGAAGAATCAGAAATGAGAGAATGTATATAAAACTAAGATGTTATAATATATTCTATATTCTCTGTTTCTAGTACAGAAACACAGTACATATATATACACAAAGACATAACTGTAAATAACTATCAATAACTTACACCTATTCATAAACAGACACAACCCTATAGATAAACCTATCTATTTAGTTTTCAACATTCCCTTTTTGATCATTTTCTTATATGCAGCGTATAACAGTTCCCGAAATTCTGGAAGATGAATGGTTTAAGAAAGATTACAAACCGCCTGTTTTTGACGAGAAAGAAGATGCAAACCTCGACGATGTTGAAGCTGTTTTTCAGGATTCTGAAGTGAGTTTTCTGGTCATTTCAGAATCGAATAACATGATTATAGCTCATCGAGTGCACTTTTTCTTCTTTGTACTATAACAGGAGCATCATGTAACAGAGAAAAAGGAAGAGCAGCCAACTTCTATGAATGCATTCGAGTTAATTTCTATGTCTAAAGGACTCAACCTCGGGAATCTATTCGATGAGCAGGTCTCTTTCTTTCTGCATTGTGCACATAATGTTACCTGTAATCTTATCTTTATGTGACCGTATTGAATAAATAAAAGGAATAAGGTTCAAATTGGCCACTGAACATAACCTGAAAATGCAATTAGGCCACTGAACGAAAAAAAGGTGCAAATAGATCACTGACCACTCCAAATGTATGCAATTTCACCTGATAGCAGGTTACCATCAATTTTAGCAGGTTATCTGTTTACGTGGCAGCTGAGTTGGCTTTTTAATAATTTTTAATAATATTTAAAAAAAAAAAAATTTAAAAACAACGGAGTGGCCAGCCGTCGTTTTATTATATTTTTTTTATTTAATTTTTTTCAATTTTTTTATTTATTATTAAAAATTATTTAAAAATACCAACTCAGCTGCCACGTAAGCAGATAACCTGCTAGAATTGATGATAACCTGCTATCCGGTGAAATTGAATACATTTAGAGTGTTCAGTTGACTAATTACACGTTTTTGGAGTGTTCAGTGGCCTAATTGCACTTTTTTTTCGTTCAGTGGCCTAATTGCATTTTCAGGTTACGTTCGGTGGCCAATTTGAACCTTATTCCTAAATAAAAAGAAATGACTTCTTTCTGTCTCTGTCCTATTCTAAACACGAACGATAAATATGAGATGTTGAGATCAGAATTTGCATTTTTGGCATTCTACAAGGCACAGGGATTCAAGAGAGAAACAAGGTTCACGTCAAAACGCCCAGCCAACGAGATAATCAGCAAGATTGAAGAAGCTGCAAAGCCCCTCGGCTTTGATGTTCAGAAAAAGAACTACAAGGTTTTGGCTAATTTCACTTACAATAGGGAGCTATAGACAGTTTAATTTTCTGCAATAATATCATGTTCCTGTGACCTCAAAAAGATGGTAACGAGGTAACTTGTTTCTTACTTTCCCATCTCGATCAGATGCGGTTGGAAAACATAAAAGCGGGAAGAAAAGGAAACCTTAATGTTGCAACCGAGGTATTCCAAGTTGCTCCTTCTCTGCATATGGTTGAAGTGCGAAAAGCAAAAGGGGACACATTGGAATTCCACAAGGTACGCTAAAAAATATAATTGTGCAGTTCAACTATCAGCTTAAGCTTTTGGTTTAGACAGAACAAATCCTTCAATTTAGTATTAGAACCAGAGCAAAGGTCATGGTTCGACACATGAGGGAGCGTGCTTAAGCCACGTACACCCTTCAGTGCAACTCTCGATCCTTATCTTATTGTTTCGCCCCGCAGTTCTACAAAAATCTTTCAACCTGCCTCGATGATGTGGTATGGCGAACCGAAGAAGACATGCAAGAAACAAAGTAGAACCCCTCTACCAGTTTTGGTACATTGAATTGAATGGGAACAAGACAGATTGTATTTAATTGTGAAGAAGATTTGGTTTCCATTTAAGCCTGTTTGAGAATTGGCACCAAGGGAATCATCTGTATTTATTTGTGATGTAGATTGATGGGATATGATTGCTGTTGTAAACACAAATGTTATTGGCTCTTTGACACCATTTTTGCTGCTGTCAATGACAATATTTAGTCAATGTTGCAAAAAACACAAATCTTCTTTAAAAAAAAAAAACAAAAAACAAAAAACTAAGCGGGGGTGGGGGGTTGGTGACAGAAGGGATTGGATGAAAAAAGAAAATTGAATATGAAAGAACTGAATTTTTTTTTTATTTTTTATTTTTTGGATTTGCATATATGTACTTCATACCTATCAAAACTTGATGGGTGATTTACAATCATATGAAATGAAATGAATACTAAAGAAGAAGAATATTTAGACAAGTATGTGGAGTTTATGAGAACTGATCTTACTGCACTCTATTAACTTTTTGAGGATGAATGAGCTTATCATTTACATGGTTCTGTAACTTGGGTGGTGCATCCATGAAGACCACATCCTTTGGTGCTGGAAGCTGTTCCAGAGCAGCAAGAACATCTGGCATGCAAGGCCGAGCCCTCGGGTCGATGTGGAGACACTTCAATGCAAGAGCAGCGGCAGTTTGGGCGCCTTTCTTCGGATACTGCCCACCCAATCTCGAGTCCATGATTCTCATAACTTTCCGGCTATCGCTTAGGAATGGCAATGCCCAATCCACTAAAGTCTCTTGTGCGGCACCCCCCGCATTCTCATCGCCCATCGCTCTTCTCCCTGATAAGAGCTCCAACAACACAACCCCAAAGCTGTATACGTCGTTTTTTGTTGTCAAATGACCTGTTATGTTATGACTTACTTGTAAGTAAAAACGATGAAAGGTAGAGAAACCAAAGATGTATCTTCCTTCAACACATAAAAGCAGTGTTGCAAAAATCGCGCCTAGACGATAGGCGGTTGGCCTCCTAGGCGCCCTAGGCGGTCCCCAGGCTCCTAGAGGGCGCCTAGCGATTTTTTCAACATTGCATAAAAGAGAGAGCAAATTAAAGATACCTACCTGTTGCTACATATTCAGGTGCAGCATAGCCCTGTGTTCCTACCACCCTAGTCGAAACATGAGTTCTATCCCCGCTGGGACCATCTCTTGCAAGGCCAAAATCTGACAGCCTCGCGTTGAAGTCCTGCAGAAATTTCAGCAAAAACTGCTGAGTAACGTAACGTTTAAGGCTAAATGTCACGGACTGTTTTCCGTGACCGTGTTAAGACCCTAAAGAATGTGGAAACGGCCAACTGGTTAGCAAATGCCATGTGGGTGAAGGGCGCGTCAATAGCGTTAAGGTTGTTCTGCCTAGATGCTAAGGTCTGGTCGAGTTAGGCACGCCGACCCGATTAAGTTTGGGGAGTCTGTCGCTAGTCTTGGACTTACTATGAAGGGGACTGATGCGATTCAAAGGGCACAACTTGGTTGGGAGCTGTTGTCGGCTTCTCTGATGAGCCCATGGCAGGGCGAAACCAGTGTGGTGCGTATGTGGGTAAGGCTGGTCTGCGGGGCATGAGGGGCCTCGGGACGCAGCACGGGCGTTGTGCGCTGCGCCGGACTCTATGCCCGTGTCATAAAGGTGGCTAATTAAAGACAGGAATTCGGGTTGTAAATGCTAATCAAAGGAATCTGTTGGTGTACGTACCGAGTCCAGAAGAATGTTGGAAGCCTTAAGATCGCGGTAGATCACATTGGCATCCAAGCTGTGTAAGAAAGAAAGCCCCCGTGCAACATCAACTGCAATACGCATTCGGGTACTCCAAGTCATAAGTTGAACTCCTTCTGTATAGAGAATCGGAAATACAATATTATTGATATCAATTACAGAAACAAACAGTTAACCGAGCCATGCCAGAGAAGAAAATCTACTCACTTCGGAATAGATGATTTTCCAAGCTTCCTTTTGGCATGAATTCGTAAACCAGGAGTCTATTTTCAGATTCTGTGCAATACCCAATCAACTTCACAAGATTCTTGTGGTGTAGTTGGCCTAAGTAGTTAACCTCTGCCTGCAGGTTCAACAAGTAGAAGGTAACGAAAAGTAACCCAAAACTCATATATTATCAAAGGGTTTAAGGTACATACAACCCATTCTCGGTGACCTTGGAAGCTTTCTGACTTAAGTTTCTTTACAGCCACAACCATCCCAGTCCCAGGTTTGCAGGGCGCCAAAGTCTTCTCATCTATCCATCCTTTGAAAACAAAGCCAAATCCTCCCTCACCAAGAAGACTATCCGAACGGAAGTTCCTAGTGGCAGTTTTGAGGTCGTTGAAGGTAAAAGGATTGAGGTAGGTGGAGATCGAGAGATCAAGATCGGAAGTTGTAGTAGTACTGGTTGATCTTCCATTAAGTCTTTGCTCACCATAACGACCTGATCCCTTCTTCTCACTCTCAAGAGAAGTCTTAGAATCTGGAACAAAACCGATCGACATGATAACATTATATGAACTTCAGCAACAAATCTGCTTAAATTAGTAGGGGAGAAACAAAAGACTGATGAAACCAAAGGAAACCTAGTCCAATCAAATTAGAATATGCACTTTTTTACAACACAGAAGTTTCTTGAATCTATAGAAGTTTCAACAAGACACCAAATTCATTCTCTGTACCCTCAATGTACATCAGTATTCAGAAACCACAAGAGTGGAGAACAACATTTTGATACAGTTCCAAGTGCAAAAGCTTCCAACAGGTTTGCAAAAGTATATTATATATATACATACATTCAAGGCAAGCAATATAGCTAAACAATTATTGCATCACCAAATTCATCTGAACATTGAACAGAATAGAATAGAATCTGGCATTCTAATTGGCTATCTATGTTTAATCTGCAGTTTCTGCCGACTGAAGAAAAGTGCCACTCCCAAGAAATCACACTGCCAAAAACCCATCTAGACAAATACCCAAACACCATGTGTGCAAATCAAAATGTGGTTGCAACTTGCAAGTACAGAATTCAATCAAATAGTCAACTCAAAGGAATAAGGGAGGGAGTACCAGGGAATAGACTAGAAGAAGCATGAGCAAGCTTAGCAGATTTCCCCATGCAAATACCCATATCTAGAACAGGAAACTGCAACCTTTTCTTTGCCTTTTAGAAGCTGGGAATCTAATCGAAGGAGGAAAAAGGAGGAGGAGAAGGATGACAGAGAGCCAAGATTTGAATATCTGTGAACCCATTCCTATTTCCTACATATGAGATCATGTGTCAGAAGTTTTGACTAAATGATGCAAATTGCAATGCCTTGATGAAAAATTGGGTAGTTGCTAGTTAGGTTCAATTGTTCAAACGTTTGACCAACCTAAAGCCTTTCTGTTTCACCACTGAGTTAAAATTCTCATTTTATTTGTTCCTCAAACATCTTTCGTAATTTACATCTGAATCTGGACACAAATGTTTCTTTGCTCTTTGATGATGAAAATATTGTTATTATTCGATAAAGTATTAAAGTAAACTAGTTTAAGTTATTCAGTTCAAACCAATAATATCAAGAGGCTATTCTCATTAAAATCGAACTTGAAACATACATACTTTTTCTATTTATAAATAGTGTTATTATGTACGGAGTATTATATAATATAATATAATACTAATACTTTACGGTCAGAGTGTATTTTTACAAATCCAAATAACATTGTCAACTAAAAGACATGAAAATATGAAATAGTTTATAAATTTTTATAGAAATTCATATTATTCCTCATCTCAAAAGCGAATGCAACTTTTAACGATATATGTGAAACAAATGACATTACCTTCCTTGATTGTTATAATTATCTCGGAAAGAAAACTTGTTAGGTTTGTTTCTAATTTATACCCGTTTCAATTCTTTTGAGGACATGTTTATGTCCTCATCCATTGGTAATTGCAATAAATTTCTTTATTGAAAAATGATTAAACTAGTATATCCAGTAGTGATACAGACACGACATTTTACCTAAGTTGATAACAATTAATGGGGTAATTTTTTATTTTTTATTTTTAAACAATTAAGGGGGAAAACAATAATTGATCAAATCCTGAATTCTTTTCACCCAAGTGGCCAAATAATATAATGGTACAAGGAAACACAGAGTCGGATTTGACGATGATGACTTTAAGAACTTTAGAAGCAAAGAAAGGTAAAATCCAAGAAGGCGGCTGAGATGATGAGTTAAGATTTAAGAAACTAGTCTTCAAAAGAAGCATAAATAAAACATTGTAAATGAACGTTTAGATTTGAATGGCAATTGGCAATTTTGTTGTTTAAGGAAGATGGTCAAACCACGCAGTTTAATACAATGATCCCAAATTTCCAATTATTTATGCGCATGTTCTGCAACGGCTGCTTTTGGCTATTATTTTATTTATTTATTTTTTATTTTTTTAAGACAGGATAATTATAAACTATTTAATATTTTGATAGTTAATATTAAAATATTAACTTAAAAACATCTAGAGTTTGCATGATTTAAGATTATTTCGCTCAAAACGACGTCATTTTGAGTGAAATAGTCGCCAACAACTCTTCATGCTGCCTTTTTTACTTGGCTGCCTCCTCAGTGTCGGCGAGCTTATTGGCCCGCTGGATAACTTGAGCATAAGTCTGAGGGTTTTTGTCTCTCAGCTTGTTGTACTGCCCGTTAGCTCCAGGTCCTAACCGCGAACGAACGGAACGTGTCGATCTAGCACGTGCTGGCGTGCGCCCTTCTAAACGGACAGAGTGCCCAGGGGAACGAGTAGCGGTACGCTCCTCCTGCCCCGCACAAACCAATTGATTAGCTCGTTGTTGACCGAAAAGGGCAGGCAATCCTTCCCTTTCTCACTCGTACATGTCTAGCACGCAGTTCATAACTTCCGCTATAGTCAGCGCGCGCGACTGTTGACAACAGGGTTGGGAATTGCAGGTGACACTCCACTGGGCGGTGTGTCGAATTGTCTAGAGTTCGTTGTACGGGCTACCGATCACTCGTCGGAGTTTGAACGGCTCAAACGCTCTCGGAGATCTCCGGGAAACCACGGCTACGAGCATTGCTGGTGTTTCGCCGACTACGACAAGTGCATGCCATAATCAAAGTTTGAAGACGCTCATTTTGTAGCGGTCCCCATAATCGGTGCCAGTGTTGGTTTCACGGCCGAATGGTAGCCAGACGACGGGCCAACACAACCGTAAAACAATTTAAGGGAGAAAATGAGAAAAATAAATTGACAGAATTACTACAAGAGATTTGAATTCTGAACCCCTTTCAATGTGCCCCCATGGGGTATTTATACAAGATTTACATGCCTTGAAAAAAAAAAATTAACAAGTTTGATCTTAAGAAAGTTTTCTAAATTGTCAGATTTCTTTCCTAATGTCGAAAAGGAAAATCTCGCCCAAAACTTGGAGGAAGTCCTTGGAAAATCCTCTCTCATCCCTCTGGGTTTGGCACCTAGTCGGTTGCATCTCCCCCGATTGCATGTAAGGGGTTGAGCGGTTGGGCCTAAACTCGACACCCCAGCGAGGAACCTGGCTACTGGGTCCCCCCAATATTCTGGGCAAAATGGTCAAGCTGCGAGCCCCGAGTGCTGGGACATGCTTCTGACTGGGTATTGCACTCAGGGGTATCCATCAACATTGATTACAATTTGATGAGAGGATGAAAAAGGCAAGTTGAAGATAAATCATGACAACTAAATAAAAAATCAAACCCTAATAATAATACGGGGGCATCCCAATCAAGTTAATCAAGATATTAACTTGGTAATCTCAAAGTTTCATGTTTAATTCTCAATGGAACAGACTTTGGAAATATCAGAAGTAAGAATGCTGACATGAATAACGAAAAAAAATAAAAATGGCATGCACTCAGTCAATCTATGTAGAGTGAATCGGTCCTTAAGGAAGCCCCGAAAGGGTTACCATCCAATGGGTACACGAAAGTGACAAAATTGCTTTGACTACAAAATCATGCATATCTGTTGGAGCGAATTGGATGATCGAGGTGAGGGTTGCCCTCTCTTCACCTCTCTCTCATTTCCCACTCTCTTTTCCCTAATATGAACCTTGAGTTATTAAAGCCTTTCGAACTCGGCATAACCTTAAGCGAATGGCACTTGACCTTCTTGGTTTGAACTGGTCAACTAGTAACCTAGACTGGTTTATCAAAGTCTTTCTGACTCAACCTATCCCTACGCTACTAGCGCTTGACCTTCTTGATCTAAGCTGATCAACTAGCAACCTAAACTAGTTTACATCTTTGTTATCAGTGTGGCATTTCTACTCACCAAAGTATGCAGTCATCATACATTTAACTAAGGTACTAGAGGTAAACTCCAAGATCACAGTGGCTGCAATTCAAAGAAGAGTTAATTCCAGCATAGGTCCCTTGAAATTGGTCACATGTCAATTTCAAATTTAATCACAGACTATAATTTTTGTCATTTAACATCCTAGACTATTATATTTTGAACACTTTTGGTTATTCCGATGACTTTTTCAATGAAACCCTATTTTAAGCATGTGTATTTTCGTCTCTTCAATTTTTTTTATTACTTTTCCAATGAGCTAATTCCAACAGAAGTCCATTCTCTTTAGTGACAATTTCAAATTTAATCCCAAACAATTATTTTTGTCATTTAACAACCCAGACTATCATATTTTGGACACTTTTGGTCCTTCCGATGAAACCTTATTTTAGGCAAGGACATTTTCGTCTTTTCAATTTTTTTTTCTTTGGTTTTCTGCACCAATTTTTGTCTCTTCAATCGTGGATTGCACCATCTCCTTCACCCTCACCCGGCTCTTGTATTTATATCCTTCAACCTGACCGAAAATCATCCTTCATCAATGACGATACCAAGTACGTGAGGACCTCCAAGTGCAAGAGAATCATTTTGCAATGCAATTGGAAAGCTCAAGATGTCACCACCCGGCCAACTTCAGTTTAAATGATATTGTTTTAGTCCATGATCTATAAATCATCTAAAAAAAAAAAAAAACTCTCTTCTGGTCATCGAAAAATTTCATTTCCTAAATTATGATTTCACTGAAAAAAATCAAAATTGTCCAAAATATGATAATTGGAGTGTTAAATAGCAAAAGACCTCCATTGGAATTAATTTATTAACTTATTGAAAAAATAATAATTAAAAAATTGAAGAGATGAAAATACTCTTACCTAAAATAGAGTTTCACTAAAAAAGTTGTCAAAAGGACTACCAAAAAAAGACAAGGAACCTCCGCTGGATGAGAGTGAAAACGATTAGTTCATTCACTAACAGACTCCAGATACAATAATACAATCAGGAAATAGAACCTAACTAATAGGCCTAAGACTAGATCAAATAATCTAGGCCACATAATATTTGTCCAACAATATATAATAATAACTTATACTAACACTCCCCTTCAAGCACAAGGTTGGTGAGCCACAACATTTAGCTTGTCACGAAGAATACCGAAGCACGCAGCCGAAAGCGGTTTGATGAAGATATCTGCAAGCTGCTCCTTGGTAGACACAAAATTGACGCGGAGCTCACCGGATGACACCTTATCCCGGACAAAATGATAATCCACTTCGACATGTTTGGTGCTCGCGTGGAAAACGGGATTAGCACAAAGATAAGTGGCTCTCAGGTTGCCACACCACAAAGTTAGTGCAGTAGAAGAGCTCAGACCAAGTTCCCGAAGCAAAGACACGACCCAAGTAACTTCTGCACATACATCAGTGAGCCATTTATATTCCGCCTCAGTGGATGACCGAGCCACAGTGCGCTACTTGCGAGTGACCCAAGACACTAGATTTGAGCCTAAGAACACGACGTACCCACTAGTGGACTTCCGATCAATGGGGCAGTCGGCCCAGTCTGAGTCGGAATAGGCATGAATGTCAGAGGACGCCGAAGAGGAGAGCCGTAAGCCGTAGTCCAGCGTGCCCTTGATATAACGGTAGGAGTATGCATACACTGACAGAGCCGATTGACAATATAGGATAGATCTGGACGAGTAATAGTGAGGTACTGGAGCGCCCCAGCTATGCGACGGTACTGTGTGGGATTGTCAAAAGGATCAGTGGAGTGGCTGACAAGTTGCGTGACGGAAGCCGGGGTGGCGAGCGGTTTACAGTCCGTCATGCCTGCTCACTACAAAATATCACGCATATACCGGCGTTGTGTGAGCACCATGCCTCCTGGAACGGAGAGAGTTTCAATTCCGAGAAAGAATGTGGGTGTTCCCAGATCCCGGATCTTGAACGCAAACGCAAGACGTTGATCTCCATCTACGTGCCCGAGTAGGCCTTGCCCGCGAAGGAACGGGATGAGTTGTGTTCTCCAGAAAAGATAGTTGCGGTTGGTAAGCTTTAATGACACAAAGTGGTGCGCACTGTTGAGGGAATTTGGGTTGGTGTTTGGGGAAGAAACGGTGGTAGAGGTGAGAGTACTAATAGGCCTAAGACTAGATCAAATAATTTAAACCACATAATATTTGCACAAGAATATATAATAATAACTTATACTAACACGGGAGTTAACTCATTCAAAGAAACAGGGAAGGTGATGGATATGGCAATATAATGCCAGAGTCGCTAAACAACATCTGTAAATCTATAATATAACAGCTGCCAGGAACATCAATTTAACATTAATGTGAAATGGGAATTGACAGACAACAAATATGATTTAATTTCAGTAGAATGATGAACACTATTTTTGTTCAAACATTAGATTTCAAATGGAATGCACAAGGTATCTAAAATGAGAAAGGCAATAATTACTATTTTTGCATTCTCTAAGGGTGTGTGCCTCTAGAGAACTTCCTAAAATTGATGAAAGAGGAAGTACATGAAACATTGTCTTGCTTGAGAATTGCTTTTTAGAATTATGGTAACACAAAGAAAAATTACATTTTAAGCTCCTACTGGTTCAGCGGTCTCAGCAATTGGCTCATCAACCGGCCTGTCCACCTCCACACCAACATCTTCTGAATAGTCACCATGGACCTACATCCAACCAAAATAGAGGAATGGAATTAAAACCTTTAAATAGTCCGTTCCTTGATAACTCAACTGTCATCTCAATTATACAAACAAGTTGGAAAACATGGCTACCTCCATCAACTTGCCAAGGTCAAACTTGGGAGATTTCAAGATCTTGACTTTGCGAATGAACACATTCTGTAGAGGATAGATGCTAGAAGTGGCTTTCTCAATGTCCCTGCCAATTGATTCAGGAATGAACTTTTGGACCAAGTCCTTAAGATCACATGATTGTGCTAGGTTAACCATGATTCCACGCATCTTGCGACGAATCTAACCATCAAAAGAAGACAGTAATAAATATCTATTGACTATAGTATCAAGACATCTTTGGATTCAATCTTCATAATGATCTCATTAAACCAAGAAACGGATATCAAAGAGAAACATAATGTCATAACTCATAATACTAGACTAAATGAATGGATGCATCCAAATTTCAAGTAGTAGAAATTTACCTGACGGATCTAGCTGGACTGAGCATAGCACGTCCTCTTTTGCTGGTTAACACGCTTCTTGGTAAAGCCAATGCAGAACGTTCTCAATGTATAACTGTCGGTAGTTTTAACATCAACATGAGCCTCAATCAATGATTGCCACTTCCTCACTAGTGACCTCATTTTATCAGTTGTGAAGTCCATACCCTGTTATTTTTAAAGAAAAATCTTGGCATCAATAATAAACTGGAAGGGTAAGACAGGATGAAATTACAAAATACGATATCATACCCAGAAGTTTGTAAGGACATTCCTTCCTTGAACATCCTCAGCTCTCAAACGGATCTTCCTGAAGGCATGATCCTCATCACCCTGAAGATCAGCCAATGATACCTCAAAGACACGGTGCTTCAGACCTTCTGAGGCAATCTGGTTAAAATAATAGAGATCATTAGCTTGTAGCTCTTTTAAGCTAGAAAGAAAATGACAAGAATACACAAAAGTGATTGTAATATAAACAAGAAAAACACTTCCACAAAGTAATTGTTTAATAACAATGAAAATGAGCATTGCATGTATGCACATAAAGCATTAATACACAAACATCGATGAAAGCTTCCACCAAAAAATTGTTAAGGGAGCATTGCGAGTAAACAGAAAAGCATCCATTGTATGGTCTTAAATTTTTTTTTTGTTATAATCTAAATCCTCTTTTGGTTCAAAGGGCTAAACTGCTATGAGAATATTTGAATACAATAGTGTACAAGTTATTGGAGGCATCTATTGAAGCTAATCTTTGCTAATATTTATAAAGTATATGATCAAACAAAAATGTGGTGGCATATGAACTCCACTTAGCTGTCCAAATAGCACATAATAATGTAAAACTAATACCTCCATCTGATATGGCAGTTAATGAAAACATTAAACATACTCTACAATACGTCAATACACAACCGTGTCAGATAACCACAAAAATATTAACATAACCAATCAAACACCAAAACCAACTGGCAGTCTGGCATTAGTGCAGTACCACCAAAAGAAATCATAATTACAAATCTTGAAATGGAAATGAAACTGAACTAAGTGCACTAGTACAATCAAAGGTCTATTCTCAGGGCATTTGGCACATATGGCAATTAATAAACACATTATAGACACACAGAATTTAATTAGTAGATTACCCATGTTTTCAAAGCACGCTACTTCCTGAATAGTTCTTTCTTGGAGGCAGGTCCTGGGTCAAATCCTTCGTTCGTGTGGACTAGCATTAGGGAATCTCAGGGGTTGTTGCGTGAGGGAGCTCGGAGGAGAGTTGGGGATGGGACAACTGTGACAACCCAAAAATATTTTTCCTAAATTCTATTTTATAAAATTTCAAAATATTTATTTTCACTCTTCCAAATTTTTTTTCCAAAAATGGTGTATTAATTAAATATTTTAAATCAAGTTTTTAAATAAATTCAACACCAAGAATTTTTATATTTTGAAAATCCTAAGTTTCGGGTACATTTATGTACCAAGTTTTGACCCAAAAAGTCAATATGAGTGAAACCTGAGAGGAACCTGTGAAACCTGAACCAAGTCTTTTAATTAGAAACTATCTTTTAAAAATCTATTTTTGACCCCAAATTGTCTAAAATCATTTTTAAGACCATGGTTTATGTTGTATGATGGACACTGATGATGTCTTCAAGCTAAACAAATATCTAATCTTTTGGAGCAAGAAAATTACCCCTTTCACCCTTCAACCAATCATTTGTAACCTAGGGTTTTGGACCCTATTTAAACTTCACTATTCCATTGATTTTGCTGATCCTCTCTTTTGCCTCTCTACTCCCAAGCTTTGAGCTCTGTAGAAAGAAGAAGAACAATACTGTAATTTTATTGGATTTCATCTCATCCATCCATTTTCGTATTCTTTCCTAGGTTATCCATCTTTGCCTTCAATCTCTGAGCTCTTTCCCTTAAGCTTGTGTGTATCTTTGTTGTTTGAGGAGAATAGGTGGTGAAGGAGGTAGTAACTGAGTTAGGGAAGAAAGGGGGATCCACACAAGAGGAGGCAACACACAAGGTATAAACCATGGACTCCCAAACTAAGATTTTCTTGCTCTGTAAATGCTAGAAATGTGAGATAGATGTTTGAAAATGCTAGATAATGCATGCTGATGAGTTGGTTATGTGTTATTGATGATCTATAATTAATTTATTGAGGTTTGGAGGTGTTTATTGTTGATCTGTGTTGTTTTGTGGTGAAGAAGAAGACACTAGTGCACACTGTCTGTGCACTAGATAGTCTCACGAACCTAACCAACAAACCTAGGCAAGGTCCGTTGGCTAGCTCCGTGGAGGGACGGGCCGTGGGAACGGATCCTAGGAGGATCCGTTGCACAGTGCCGCCGCTTGGCGGAGCCAAGTGGCAGGGCTTCACAAGCCCCATCACCAAGCTCCGCCCGGCCAAAGTTTGTACTGGTCGGGCCCTCTATGGCTCAGCTATGTGTCGTTCGGACCGGGACTCGTGGGCCCTTGAGGTTCAGACACTCGGGATTGTTACAACGTGCTAGTAGAAGTTGATTTCATTTGATTTGAAGTTAGAAAGAATGTTTAATAGATAGAAGTTTTTTCTACCCAAAAAAAAAAAAAAAAAAAAAAAAAAAAAAGATAGAAATTTTGAGGAATGAATGCTTTGTGTTGTTCTGTGAACTTGAGGCAGTGAAGGAAAATGTTACCATTTGAGCTTATAAATTATAGAGAATCATGTTTAATACTTGAAAGTATTTATTGAGAAGATTTGCTAAGTTGTTGAGATGTTGGCATGAAACAGGTCATTGGAAGCCCGACAGAGATTGCTAAGTATATATATATATGCTATCTATTGTGAAGAAAATGGTGTTTTGGAGGCCCGTTAGGACTTGGTCCTTTCAGAAGAAAAGAGAAAGAAAGAAGTTTGAGAAAGGAAAGAAATGGTCACAGAGGACCGACAGAGATTTATGAAGTAACTTAGTAGATATTCCCGAGTTTCTAGATTGGATACTACTCGCCGCGTTTGGAAACCTAGTTAGGGGGTGTGCACACTGATAAGTACGATACCTAATTCCACAGAGATTATATAAGAACCAAGAGAGTGGTTCTGTGGGCGAGATGAGTATTAGGCCGGCCAGACACCGAGTACGATACCTGATTCTACAGAGATTATATAAGAACCAAGAGAGTGGTTCTGTGGACGAGATGAGTATTAGGCCGGCTAGACGCCGAGCCCGGATAGGTTTGTTCACGATTCGTGAAGTTCCTACCTCGCCCGCGAGTACAGAAAGAAAGCAAGAAAGAAGAAATAAGAGAAAAGTGAGTCAAGTGATTCAACAGAAACCTCCACAGAAAATGTTCTTTTTTTATATAAAGAGCGAGAGTATATCTATATTTAAAGCATCATGTCATATCTTATTGCATGACTTAGCACGAGTTGCATTTAGAGCATTTTGAGAAGTAAAGTTTTGTTGTTGTTTAAGAATTGGCATGATAGCATGATCTTGCTTGTTGAATTTCAGTTATCTCTTTATCTATCAATTTGAATATTGGATAATGAGCTATGTTTAGAGATATCTGTTTGAAGCATGAGAATGTGTTAAAGTTAAGTATTTGAGGAAAGCATGATTATATG